CAGGGCCTGGAGGGGCTCCAGGAGAGCTGGAGAGGGACTGGGGACAAGGATGGAGGGACAGGACACAGGGAATGGCTCCCACTGCCAGAGGGCAGGGATGGATGGAATATTGGGAATTAGGAATTCCTGGCTGGGAGGGTGGGGAGGGGCTGGGATGGAATTCCCAGAGCGGCTGTGGAAGAGTCCAAGGCCATGCTGGATGGGGCTTGGAGCAGGCTGGGACAGTGGGAGGTGTCCCTGCCCATGGTAGAAGGTGGAATGGGATGATCTTCCCAGGTCTTTGGGACCTTGCTGAATTCCAGAAGTTTCCTCCCTGCCCATCTCCCCAACCTGTCCAGGTCCCTCCACAGTCCCCCCAAGGCGTCGCTCGTCCCAGCTCTGTGTCCTCAGGGAACTCCTCTGCTTTGGGCTGGGGAGCTGCACCCACCCATGAAATTCCAGCTGCAGTGCAATACTGAGAAAGAAACGCTCAAAGTGGTGGATTTGTCCCAAATCTGCTCCCAGAGCCGTGTCTGCCCTCGGCCACGAGGTTATTGAACATTGGACACAGCTACCTGGGAATCAAAAGGAACAGGAACCACCTGCTGTCATCCTCAAAAAAACCTCCTCGCAGAACTAAATCCAAACAGGGCCAAGATCTCAGCATGATCCATGGATATCGAAGTTTCCCACCACTCAGGAATTCATCCTTCTTCACCAACGTGATTCCCCAAGATTAAAGGAAAACCAGGATTGCTGCGAAGCCCTTTGGCTGGTCTAGGGCCAGAGCCGACACGGATTAATTCAGTTTGGTGGTTTTTAGGATGTGGAAAACACTGAAAACCTCCTCATTTAGCAGCTGAGTTCTTATCTCTTATTTAGTGCGGATGAAAAGGACCAGACAAATCGGAGCCCTTCTTCTAAAGCATCAACTGGGAGTGAGGGTCAGGAGCAAAAATTCCTCCACATCCGCGTGATAAAAAAGAGGGAAATAATTTATTGCATTTTGTCTGCTTAAAGTCCCACCAGGAGAAGAAAAATACATTTCCTATTCATGAAAACTGAGAAAATCCTTCCCTCTGGCTCATTATTTGCAGGATAATTTACACTGGGAAAAAAGAGTTTATTTATTTCTCAGTTCTCTGGAAGGTACAAAAGACAAAGGAAAAAACCAAAAAACAACACAGGGCCCCACAAAATTTGGCTCTGGACAAAATGTTGATGTCCTTGACATTTTTTCTGCAGACAAGAAAGTAAATAAAGATTTAATGGAGCCCTCAAAGTGTTCTTGCCTAAAATAAAATGAGTTCTTATGACAAAATAAATCAATTTGGGTAAACATTAAAAGAAACACAGTGGAGAAACAACTCTGAGAGAAAAACAGTCCTCCAAAAGTGCTCTGAAATGAGAGGGAAAATCTCCCACTTTTCCAAAACCTTTGCAAATTGCAAAGGGCAATTTCACTTTCAAGAGGTTTCATTTTGCATCCCACCAAAATATGTGGCCACAAAAGAAGAAAGTGCTAAATTTTGTGGTAGGTGCATCCTCCTTGTGCTGGAAACATGGAAAACTGAAAACAAACCACACAATTATCGATTCTTGGGTGCTTTGAGCCTCCAAAATCCTCCCCAAAAACTGAAGGGAACGGTGGTGGGTCACCTCTGGAATGTTGCTTTATGGGGGGAAAAATTCGAGAGCCAAGACGTGTCCTAAAAAAATATTTCAAAAGATGATTTTTGCATTTAAAATTTTGACCTCTGCATGGAAATGATTCCTTAAATGATTAATCCTGAGTCATCCTGAGTATTGAATCCTGATAAGAATCCAGTGAGACTCAAAATCCGGGAAGTGTCTGAGCCTCCCAACAAAAGGATCCATCGTTGTTACCAAGACCTGATCCACTCCCAGAGAAATCTCTTCCCGCTCCTCTCCATCATCTCTGGCCTCTCTCTCCCCATTCCTTCCTTGGAAAAGTCATTCCAGGACAATTTTGGAGGAGGGATAAAACATCTCAGTGATAATTTCC